CCGCGCGCCCGTGCCCCGCCCGACCTGACCGCCGCCGGCGGCCCGCCATTGAATAATACCTCAAGTTCTGAAATTAGTTTACTCGTGAACGCCCGGCCGCCGTGCTGGCCGTGCCGGGGTGCGCGCGCGGGTGGGGCGGGCAGGCCGCCTAAGTGCATAATGGTCCGATTGGCTACATGACGTCATCGCCATTCTGCCGGGTGTCCCCTTCGCCCCCCTCTATTGTTTGGCCCACCTCTGTTGACACATTGAGACCCTCTCCCGGCCCGCCGGGCCACGCCGCTCCGACCTCTGTCCCGCGGGTATTAAAAGGAATGAAATGCGAACCGCGCGCTCCGCTGTGCCGACCATCCACTGTCTGAAAAAAGCACAGTAAGTTGACCAGTACCTTATTGGTCAACCCATTTCACGGTTATCCTGTACGTGTTTTAAGTACGGAGTATAGGAATTTTTAACACGGAGCTTTATGGGCACAACAGTCTATACATACGTGCATCCCGTACCATACCACACCCTGTACGGGAATACTGTACTTGTTCTCTACTTTGGTACACAGGATACACTGTGGTCGCCCTGGGCCCCCACACCCCTTCCCCATCGACAGCGCGGGGGACGGCAGTGGTATCCGTGGTAAAATAACTTGCAGAGGGAACCGAAATTGTGCTACCACATGTGGCAATTGCAATAATTGCAATCAGCACCCAGAGTGGACGTACGCAAAAACGTTAGTTGAAAATTGCGAAATCCTTGTCCCCGACCTGTAAATTACGAAAAGCTGCTCTTTGTATAACGTAGAGAGGATTTGGCATTTTCTTTATACAGACAAATCCTTTGTTTTACGAAAGGTTCGGCTACGAAGAAAATTCGTTCGTGATATGGTGGTTCCAGATCCTTCGTACGTTGCAAGCCCATTTCTTCACAATATGAAGACTGCTCTTTGTAAGGAACCAAGATTGCCCCATATTTGCCGTGTGCCCCCCCCCCCCCGCAACGTGGCAACGTGCACCCTTCTGGTCGTCGTGACGTGTAATCCCGTCGGTCAGTGAGACTGTTTTTTATTACCCCGCTCATCATCACATCGAGCGCGCCCCTCTCTGCGCGGGGGCCGCCCGCGAGGTAGGCCAGCCGCCGCAGTGCGCCGCGCGGGAGCGCACCGGGTTGCCTACCCACCCGACCACAGGGGCCCCCTCGCCCGCCCCGCCGCCCGGCCGGCTCGGCTGATCACACGGCACACTGCAGGCCGGAAGGCACAAGTTTCCTCTCCCCTTAATCGCCCCGTCTGCTCGCCGCGGTGATGCCCGATCCGGCCCGATCTCCCCCTTTTCTCCGTCCACTCCTCCCCATCCCCCGCTACCGTTCTCACCTGTCGCCGCAGCTCAAGTCATCCAGGCGGAACGTTGTCAGTGTGAAGGCACGCAGATTTAATAAGTGTGGAAGTCTATTTTAAAAATAGCGACGCGTGTAAAAATTAAACTTCAACTTGAAATAAAAATTGCCCCTTTTCATTATTTCATCTTTCACGGTCGGAAAGCTTTGGACACGCCCCCTTTTCTTTGACCCCTTTTGTCTCGCAGAATCCTTTCTAATTGTGGTTTTTCTTTTTCTCACGCGCTGCCGTTGACTTGACGTGCGCTATAATGGGCGTGACCTTTTCTTTCGCATCCGCACTCACCTGTCGCGGCTCAAGCCATCCTGTGGTGCTCGAGAGCCTGGCCTTTCCTCGCCGTGCTCGGCGCTACACTCCTCGTGATCGCGCCCGCGCCCGGTCTGCCGCGCCGCCGCCGGCTCCTATGCGGTCGGTGTCGTCGACGTCCGGAGGCACGACCTCCCCCTGCCGCCTTCAGCAGCTGGCTCGGCTGTTCCCGGCAGCAACACCCGCTCGTCGCACCGGGCGGCCGCGGACTGGACGGAGCCCGGCGCGCCGCGGGGCGGGACGCCCCATGCTGGAAGACCCCCTCCCCCTCTCCCTCCACCTCGCTACCGGCACCACGCCCGCCCAACCCCGCCCGCGGACTGCTGCTGATCCCCATCCATGACCTCCACGAGGTGCACTCGGGACGGCGAGTACGTACAGTACCCTCCTCCAGCTCCCGCGGGGCTGTCCATTTGTCCAGCGGGCTGTCCACTAACTGTCACTGTCCAGCGGCTTACGGCGGACAGACAAATGGCCGTCGACCGTTCCGCACACATTTAATCATCACTTTGCCTGAGTCGATTTGTGTGTGCGTGTGTGTGTGTGGGGGGGGGGGGTGATTTCTTGCCTCACATTTTTCACTGGCTTTGTGGCTTCCGTGATCAGAGTCGTGGCCGGGCCTGGGGCCGCGGTGGCACATATCCCTGCGGCTCGCGCCACCTCGTTTGCGGACGCCCCCGGCCCCTCCCCGCCGCCTGCGCGGCTCGCACGCTACACGGCGCACGCGAGCGACCCCTCCCCCCTGCCGCAGCCCGCGCGGTGCGCGACCCCTCCGCCCCGCCAACTAGCCGGGTAGATAGCTGTGTCTCCCTCATTACCTTTCAGGACGATGCATTTTTCATTCCGGCGCCTACGAACAGCAGCAGCTCCGGCGTAGCTAGCTCGCCCCTCTCCGCGCCCCGCCGCCTGCCCTTCGGTGTGCTTCTCTGCCGTGCTTAACTTTACTCGTCCATGAAGTGAAAGGGAAAAAAGGGGTGGTCCTTAGAAGGACGAGGAAAACCCTCCTATGGGGTGCTTACACTCAGTTTCACCTGCTGCTTATTCAATTGCCCCCCCCCTCAAAGCCCCTCTTTCGCACGAGGTTCTCAATCGCGCCTGCTTGCCTCAGACAAACAGTCTGGGGTATCGCCGGCGGCCCGAGGCGCGCCAACCAATGCCCCCCGCCCGTGACGGCGGCCCGGAGCGCGCGCGGAGCGGTGAGTAACGGTGTGACGACGATGGTGTCCCCCCCGCGAGCCTCGCGCCGCCGCCGAGAGGGGGCGCCGCCTGCCCCGGGACGCGCCGAGGCGCGCCCCCTCGCGCGCGGGGTATCGCCTCGGGACACACTTTTGAAACTTCCCGCGCCTCGCTCGTGCGCGCGCATGCCCTCGCTGGACTCCCCCTACGCCGCCGGCGCGCGGCTCTCCCGCCCTCTCGGCCGGCGTGTCGGCCGCGGCCAGTGCTTCCCGCGCGCTCCGTCCTGTTTGTCGTGGGGGGCCCCCGGTGCCGGCCCCGAGTCCCATCGCACGTGCGTCCGCCCGTGTGGCATGAGCCTGCCCTGCCCGCCCCCGCCACCCCTGCAGGGGGGCAGCCCATCGGGCAGCCCAGGGGGCAGCCGGGGGGAAGGCCCGCACGCCCGCGAGTGAGTGCAGCGCAGTGCAGCGCAGTGCAGCGCAGTGCAACGCAGTGCAACGCAACATACGCGCCGACCACGTGGAATAAACACAACCAGTCAACGGGGACGCGACGAAATTGCATCGGTACTGTGCTTTTCTACCACCCGCTGCTCGCTCGAGGAAAATGAATAGCTGTGGCAGCTAAACCGATAGCTAAATACAGAATAACCATTGTGATTTTGTCGTGTCGCTAAAAACTATAGCTGTGTGCCTTAACATCTCGCAGGAGGGCTGAATGGTTAGCTACACAGCAAACATTAGACACACATGTTACCTAGCTAAGTAATTAGCTATCACGCACTAGCCACTACATTTAATCTTCTTTCCCGTGCTCTTTTCCTGTTGCACCTTTTTTTGATACGTTTAGAGTTCTTTCAGCCTACCGATAACACTTCATCAAAACGCATACATTCACACATTTTTTCACCTCCTCCCCCTTCTCTCCTCTCACTCTTTGGCGCGCGCGTTCTCTCTCTCTCTCTCTCTCTCTCTCTCTCTCTCTCTCTCTCTCTCTCTCTC